ATAGTTGACTCACCAGGAACTTCATGATGATACAACGTGGATGAGTTTTACACTGATCTCCATCAGCAATTCCGTTTCCTTTTAAAGGGAACAGGTGGATGAGTTGCCACATCGCAAATAACAGATTAGAAACCTCCCTGGCGACAAGGAACTCAAGCTTTCATGCGTAGATGCTCTTTTGTTTATTTCGTTTTTATTTTTGTTGTAGCTATTGTTTTTTTATTGAGAAATAAAAAGTTCGAGTAAGATAAAGACAAAATAAAAGTGACATTTCTTAGTTATTTGAGGAAAAACTGTAAATAAGGATAATATAATAAGACTTTATCATGTTCCACTTTCGGTTAAATCAATTTTTAAAATCTTTTAATGATTAAGTCTTGATTAACATTTAATTTACTTGTAATAAAATTCCCATTTTCGCAAATTTCATGCATTTTCTGAAGAAAAAAAATATATATAGAGAAAACCGAAAGTGATAAACTTGTTTTTTCAAATTTACATAAAGTAGTGAATATTAGTCTTAAGGCTTAGGATTAGAAAGAAAAATGCTTTGTTACTGGGCATGTTTACTTCAAAAAAATACTAGGTTTTTTCTACATTTCAGTATGAGGAAAATGCGACGTCAAAAACTTATAGCTCAGAGCTGCAATAGATAGTCTTATATCTGTTAGTCAGAGTCAGTCGCTTCTGCCCGTCTTCTAAGAGATGGCATAGCCTTTCTGGGCATAGAAAGAATTAATAAATAACTGAGTAAATACGAGTCATTTACTCTAATGCTTCTTTCACTCGAAAACATTACTCACTCTTGGACTGAGTTCAGTCACCAGTCAGTTCCAGATCCCCTTTCACTACATCTCAATACAATACTTATAAATGTTGTGTTGTTTTCAAAATTACTACTAGTTTTATTTAATTTGCTCTCCGTTTTTTGTCTCTCTCTCTCGTGTACATATTTGTATATACATATATATCATGTATGAATATGTGTGTAAATATAAACTGCACATGGATGTATCCATCTGCATACATTTTATAAATAATAACATCATCTACTCTATCTCTATCTTTCTTGGCCCATTTTTGTCGCTTTATCTACCTCTCTGTCTACCTATCCATTCATACTCGTACATTTTCACCATTATCTACCCGTATATGCCAAATAGGGTCACATTAAAAAATAAAAGAAATACCACATGCTCGGGTGCCCTAAAATCGGTCCATTGATCAAGGCCCTGAATCTGCCAACAGCAACAAACCCCCCAAAAAAGGACATTTCTAGGCCACATGACATAATTCGAAAATGTTTTGAGGTCAGTTTTAAGTACGGTTTTTCGGTGGTTTATAAGGCAACTACTTAACCAAACATATAATGAAACAAGAGCAAAACATCCAGAAAATATTTTATAAGAGAGCACTCGAATGGAGGAGCAGACTGTGCTAGTGAACAGACCTTAAAGAGCAAATTGAGGATAAATATTCAAGAACATATTGAACCTTTAGGATTGTTATGAATATGAATATGATGTTCCGCCCAAAGGCAAAGAGAAAACATTATTTTAATCCCTATTTCACGCCATGTGAAGAATTATTGACCTGTATATTTCCCTAAAGGTAAACACATTAAAAAGGTATTTTGCGTGCAACGTCAAAAATCATGTAATAAATGGCATATATGATATTTCATAGGCAGATAAATATGAAGTAACTGTAATCAGGCTAAAAAAGATCAAATCTTTTAATTCACTCGCTTACAATAAAAACAGAATGCCATGGAATCCGAATGATCACCTGGGAAGCTGCACTGAAACGTCTGACAGATTTTCTTTCTGGAGGTGATCATTATATAGAAATGCCATTGAGAAGGAAATAGAACGGAGGAGGAAGAGATAATTTCACTCCAACATGACCATGAGTAGAGGCGAGAGTAAAGAAAAAAAGGCATCAAGACTTTCTGTTCAAAAATAGAAGAAAAACACGACAAAGAAAAACATTTAAGGTGGTTACTCTACCCGTTAGGAAAAAATCACAAGACATGTCTCTATGTAGCTTATCCAAGTGTGTATCGTACACTTGAAAGTTATATTTAATACTGGAAAACTTCAGTGCAGACACCCAGCTTCTTTCCAAGTAGAGAGACGGACGGAATTCCACTGAATGCAGAGTGCCAACAAGCCAGGAGTTGAGACACTGACAATCCACGAACGAGTGTATCTATGAACCGCATTCGTGTTGACAGATGTGGAAAGGTATGAATGGGAACGAATATCTCTTGTATTGTGAAGATCTTCGTTCTCATTCATACCTTTCCACAAGTGAATCTATCCCATCAAAGCCGCGCGATACAAAAGCGCCTCTAATTATGGCTGAATGAAATAGATTGCCAAGCTTAGTTTTCTTTGTGAAATGCCAACGATTATTTCCAGCGGCAGGTTAGTCATTTCGAAGTTGTAACATCATGAAAGCGGGATGTGTGCGTATGGGCGACGTGGGGTAGGGGGCT